CGCCCTCTTCGCCTTCGTCCTACGTGAACACCAATTGGCTATAAAACGTGACGACATTTCATCACTCATCGCTTATTGTACATGGCTAATTATAGACATGAATTCAACTTTGACTATGTAGAAATCCTGGATGGAGAGGGAAAACACAAAGAATATCAGAGAATTCCTAGAAGCTTGGCATTCAGGTCAGTCAGTCAGCAGCAATCAATAGTTGTCTAGAAATAGATCGAATTTATCAACCAATGAGGAAGATGATAAACAACAGAAAGGGCAGAGGTGAAGCAGAGGAACAGCCAACAGGAAAATCTATGCAGTCAGTCAATGACATAACAATCAAAGGAAACAACTAATCACAGACCACTTCGTCAAGGCAAGGTACTAAATCATTCACGGAGAGATATTGACAGCTCATTGCACACTGAAGTTGGTGTTGATGATGTCGTTTAGCAAGACGATTAAAGCTTCACGATTAAACAACTCAGCTCAGAGAACAGAATACAAGCAAGGCAAAGAACAGGTGGATAGAAACAGACTGATATCGAAGTGGACAAAGTAGTGTAAGTGAATAAACAGTCTGATCCTAAAGGTTAGTTCGGATATTTGAGCTTTAGAAGACGTCAAGGAATGAATACATCTGCGCCATTGCGATCGATTTTCAGTCATGTCACTGAGAGTTCTCAATGACTGATTCTCATTGTCTCGAGGCTCCCGGCCAGACAGTCTGCATCTCCTCACACGGCTCAGATAAACAGTCAGAGACTTCATGGACTGGTACATGACCAAGCCACCTCAGTCGACTCAGGTTCACAACCTCATCGACTGACTTGCCTGTCTTACCGAGTACCCTTTGGTTGACCTCAACATTGCTCACACGATGATTCCAGCACATGCAAGCAGTGCTACGAAGACGTGTCTGATCAAAAACCTGTAACCGCTTCATTATCATCTACTTATTACTGCTAGACCTCACAGCCTTACAACAGGACAGAACAGACTACTGCCCAGTATACGCGTTTTTAATAGACCCCCGGATATCTTGCTGGCGCCATAGGTAACATAAGTTGGCAAGTGCGAAACAAGCCTTCTGTATCTGAGCTGAGGTTTTTTCAGCAACCAACATGGTCAGGCTGATACAACCCGCCAAGTATGTCAAGTGGTTGACATATTCCGCCACTTCATTGCTTATCAGTGGTTGCAGACCAGTCCTGGAATGTCATTTTACTTTTGAAAGATTAATGATGCTACCTGGTTACTCAAACCTTAGTAGACTGAGCGGGATTCGAATTCATGACCCACTAGCTGAAATTTAACTGCTTAAACTAATAAGGCAAAGCCTCATTAATATAAGTGAAAAACTTGGGCACTGTAGCACTGTAGTTCCATATTAGATTTGTTTATTTGATATAAAGCGCACAGTGATACAGTATTATTTACTTGATTACGTTTCGAGCATAAATTATTGCTCATAATCATATCAATGTAATCACACTTCTTTCGACATCTGATTTTATAGTCCTGTCACCTGATCTCTCTTTGTTTTTTGATTGGTAGTAAAGTTTTCCATATCTCTGGTATAGGTGTTGCGTCATTCCTATTACATGTGTTGGGTGTGGATTCGATGAACAAAGATTCAGTAATTAATCTCTCTCTCCACCTAGCTATATTAGACTTAAGTACAGTGGTTTTGTCCCATCCTATTGTGTGGTTGTGTGTTAATGAATGTAATGCAATGGCTGAGTGTTTTTCTAGGTTATTGATCTTATTGGGGTCTGCCGTTCTATGTTTAGCTAAATTCCTATGTTCTGTTAATCTAACTGACCCCGACCGGCTAGTTTGACCTATGTATTTGACTTCACAGTCATTACATGGAATTTGGTAGATTATATTATTTTGCTTAATTGGTTCTATCGGATCTTTTAGCCGACAAAGCTTACCTCTAAGTGAGTTTGTTGGTTTAAATGCCACCCTAATTCCAACCTTGTTGAGAATCCTACGTATGGTTTCTGATGTTCCTTCCTTGTATGGTATCACAATAGAGGTGTTGATTTCCTTTCTACTTATGTTGTCACTATTATTTGTATTTGTATTAGTGTTATTATTTTGCTTCTTATGTGTCCGTGTGAATTTCTTAATAAAATGATGGGGATAATTATTAATTATTAACGCTTCTTTTATGTGTTTCAATTCCTTATTTAAGTCCTTACAATGACTAGTGAGTTTCTCAGCTCTGTTATTTAGACATTTGACTAAACCCGCTTTAACTGACACTGGATGAGATGACTTGAAGTCTAGATATCTGTTAGAATGTGTTGGTTTTCTGTAGACGGTAGTATCTAAACCACCATCTATCCTTCGTTTTATTCTGCAATCCAACATAGGTAATTCTCCTTGTTCATTTTCTACTTCGTAGTGAATTGGATTGCGTTAACTACTGAGTTTATGTGTGTCAAGAAACTGTCGATATGTTCCGATTTCAACACTGTAAATGTGTCATCTACATATCGCCACCATATCTTAGGTGTCGGATTATATGTTCGTAAAGCCATATCTTCCCAACTATCCATAAATATATCTGCTACTATAGGGGATATTGGTGATCCCATTGCTACTCCTTCTGTTTGTCTATAAATCTTTCCCTGAAACTTGAAGACTGTCGAGGTTAAGCATAACTGCACTCCTAACATGATTTCACCAACCGATGCCTTGGTTCTTTGAGTAAGTTGTGAGTCAGTATCTAGTTGATTTCTGACTGCCTCCAGTGCCATATTGATTGGTATTTTAGTATAAAGACTTGTTACGTCAAAACTAACCATTTTTTCATCCTCTTCTATGTGCAGGTCATTAAGTTTTTGTTTCAACTCGTAAGAATTTACTAGTCTAGAGTTGGAACGGTCTCTAACAGGACGTAATACTGATGCTAAATACTTTGATATCTCATATGTTGGTGTGTTCCGGAAGTCAACTATCGGCCTAATGGGATAACCTGCTTTATGAACCTTAATAGTACCGTAAATTCTGCTAGGATTATTAGTTTTTGGCATTAAAGTAAACCATTCGGACTTACCTAGAGATGGCAAAGCCTCACTAATGATACCAAGGAAATCATAGTTTAATCATTTTGATGTCTAAGGGAAACTTCAGTAAGATTTTAACAGCAGGCTACACTTATTTATGCTGTTGTCATCTATAACTGTAAATCTTGTTGTATGCGGTCGATTGATTGTATACGAATAGTAATCACCACAGACTGAAAAAGAATTTGAAGAATGAATGGTAAGAAGAAGAAGAAGCTCAGTTTTTGTTATCAGGCTATTTTATCAGTTAACTCAAAGTCGAAACAGTGAGATTTGTGGAGTAGTGGGACTGTTGCTCAGTGGCTTACGGATACTATGATCAACCACTAAATCACGGGTTCGAACCCCGCTTCACCTACCGTGATTTGGGGAGCCAGGTTATTATCGATGGTCGTCACACAATCATTATTATTATTTGCCTGCTGAGTTCCTAGTGGAACATAAGGCTTCAATAGCACGTCATCATTTCACTCTCTTCTCTGGAGTCTTCATAACCTGGCTCCATGACTGCCCAAAAGCTTCAATTTCTTCCTCACACAATCTCCTCCATGTCACCCTAGAGTAGGACGCTCAACTTGTCGTTTACCCTTTGGGTTCCACTCGACGGCCTGGCGCCTGATGTCCCCAAACCGTCTCATCAATGTATGCCGAATCAATCTCCACTTTCGTCTACATATTTATTGGGCGATAGGTTGTTGGTTGGTTTGTTTGTTGCCAGCCACAGTGAGTTCTGTGTTGCTTATTCTTATTATTCTGGCCATCCATCTCATCTGATCTTCAGTACCGAGTGAGCGAGCGTAGGCATCAGCTGTTGATGATGTATGTGTATAGTTTGTTGGAAATGCTTTTATTCGTAACGCACCGTCAAGTCTCTCAACAATCACATAGAAGCGCTGACTGACTGACTGACTGACTGACTTGACTGTCATTAGTGTTGAGAATGTGGATGTTGTTCACACTTTATGCTGAGTGAAGTGTAGTGTAGTGAAGTGGAGTGGAGTAGATCTGCACACTGATTGGTTTCAGAATAATGAAGGAAGGTCTGTTTTGCTATTTTTCCAATCGTGGCTTTGACATCGTGATGTGTACCACCACCACCACCTGTAATTGAAACGATGCTGCTTAGGTAGAGAGGTAGGTGAAAGAGACAACTTTTTTTAGGTTTCTCCCGTTGATGGTGCTTGTTGTTGTTGTTGTTGTTGTTGTTTGGGTATCTTCATCACCTCTGAATTCTCTACGTTCACCTGAAAGAATTCACGTCTTCCTTCGCTGCCTCGCCTCTTCCGCAAACTTTTTAGTTTTCGCCTGTACATCTTCGAGTTTGTGCCACAAGACATTAGACATAAATCATCATCGGCAAATCCAAATCTTCTAGGGTCTTTTCATCGTTTCAGCCAGCGTATGCCTCTCTTCTCACTGCTCACAGTTGTCTATTGTATGATCCAGTCCAGTCGAGTCGACCACAATCAGGAAGATTATCGGTGATGACAGTAGGCAGCAACTTTGTCTTACTTCTATCTCATGTCTTCACTTCAAACTCATCACTGGCGTCATACAATAGGTATGGCTTATCGCCTACTGCATAGACTTACACAAGGTGGTTGAGTACGTTTCGTTTCGTGTAGGTTTATTGATTTCAAGTCGGTATTTATCACTTACTGACATCATTTGGAGAACCACTGAAAATCCGGGTAGCATTGGATAGCCGTTTTGTCCAACCACCGGAAACCCAGTGGTCGCTGGTTCGAGTCTGGTCTCGGTCCTGTACTACAATCATCATTCACTATAAATACTAGTCTGTCAAACCATGGCTATCTCAGATAGTTAAGTGATAATGATGAACTATGAATTACACATTACCATGGTTTAAATTGTTAGTAAATAATCATTTTTCTCTTTAAAATTTATCTATATCTACATATATAGATTACTGAACTACCAAGTCCCTCGTTTATGTCAAAGAAGTTACGTGATCTCAATCTTGGCACAATGAAAGATGTTTGTGTAGTTAATCAAAATTGTCCAGTTCACAAAGCTTTACAACATTTTATTGATCATGGTGTTTCAGCACTACCTGTAGTTGATCAAGATGAACAGTTAGTGGATATTTATGCAAAATTCGATGTTATTGTAAGTTGTTTTATATATATATATATATATATATATATATATATATATATATATATATATATATATATATATATATATATATAATGCTTATTTGGTTTCTTTTAATTATGTTCAATAAACTATCAGAATTATAGACTTCATTGGCTTATATCATTATAATCCTATTAAGTGAGAAGGCGTTGCTAACATGCATAGTTTTGTGCATAAATTAATATTTAGGATTAATATGAGTAAAACTTGGGCACTGTGGTCGGTTGTAATTCCATTTTAGTCTGTTTATTAGAAATGTCACACACATTGATGGGACAGTAGCATTTACTGGATGACATCGTTTGGAACACAATTTATTGTCCATATTCATATGAGGTAACTCCACAACTTTGAAGACAGAGTTAATATATTCCTAATTTTCTCTCCTTCTCTGTGATGACAAGGGTAGTAGAATTTTCTATATATCTGGGACAGGTGCAAATCATTTCTATTGCCACAAGTATTGGGTGTTAATTCGATAAACAAAGATTCGGTTATCAAACTCTCCCTCCATCCAACTAAGTTAGTTTTCAACACTGTCGCCCTATCCCACCCTACTGTATGATTGTGTGTCATCTCATGCAGAGCTATAGCCGAGCTTCTTTCTCTAGATTTCTTATCTTATTAGGATCTACTAATCTTGATTTAGCTAAGTTTTTCTGTTCTGTTATTCTCATCGACCCTGGTCGACTGCTTTGACCTAAGTACTTGACCTCGCAATCATTGCAAGGGATTTGGTAAACCAGATTATTTTGCTTAATTGCATCGATAGGATTTTTTAACCTACAGAGCTTGTTTCTAAGCCAGTTTGTTGGTATGAATGCCACTTTAATCCCAGCCTTATTGATAATTCTTTGTAATGCTTCTGAGGTGCCTTCCTTGTATGATAACACAGAAGAGGCTTTGAATTCTCTCTTAACCCTGTCGCCATTATTACCATTAGTAGTAGGATTATTATTAAGAACACTTGTATTACTACTACTACCACTACTAATATTTTTCTTTCGATTTCTTATGAATTTATTTGTAAATTTTGGTGGGTAATTATTGAGACTTAGGGTGTTCTAGATGTATCTGATTCCTTGTCGCAGATTTTCCGATCTACTAGTAAGCTTAAGCATTTAACTATGCCTACTGTAGCTGAAATGGGGTGAGAGGATTCGAAGTCTAAGTAGCGATTCGAATGGGAAGGTTTCCTGTAGACACCAGTCTCTGGAATATATAAAGTCTATCTCAGAGTTGTAGAGTTACTTCATATGAATATGAACAATAAATTTGTCCGAAACGTTATCCAGTAAATGCTACTGTTTCAGTGCGTGATATTTCTAATAAACAGACTAAAATGGAATAATGTTTGGGATGTTTTTAACCTTCAAAATGCACAATGTTCCCTCATAACCGGTCTACATCTGTATTCCGTTTAATAATACGATAAAATTAGCTGACGACCGTTGGGAAGGTGGGGGGAAATCTCCTCAATTCCCTGAAAAATTAGTGTCAGCTTGGGTGGATTTATGGTTGCTGAAATTTCAGTACGAATATAGGAGAGACTGGTTTTGTGTGTATGTGTGTGTGTGTGTTTTAATTGAATTTTCATGCTAGTGAGATATTCAAAAGTTCTACTAAAGGCTGAGTGTACCGCTCTATCCCTACTATATGACTAGAAATCTATTTTTTAATTATGAAATAATCATCGGTATCATGGTTATCACTGGTGTACGGTGGGAACATCATAGCAACAAATTAGAGGTTAGGTATAAAGTACACTAAACGAAGGAGTTAAATCAGTTTGTCAGATTAAATCTCCATCGACTGAGATGGCTGGGGTTTGTGTTAGGCACCCGGTACTCTTCTCTCTACTGTCAACGTGAAATGGTAACTGAAATAGGGTTGGTCATTTTAAGATATCGCTGTGGTCTGTGAAGTTTGTCTGACTGTTGATCTGAGCAATTTACGGAAATTTCATGTAGTCATCCTACCATTTCATGCACATTTTGTGCTGTTGTTAAGTCTGGCGACCAAAATTCATGGATATCTGTGCAATATTCTGTCTGTATGTATTCCCAAAATCTGGTAAATCTTAGTATTCCTTCACGTCAAAATGGTTAATCAGCTGATGTGTTGGCCAAGTTTCAACGTACATAAGTAGAACAGTCTTATGTTGAAAGTTTAAAGGAGAAGAATACATCTGCGGCGATTCACTATGATTTCCTAGCTATCGACTTCTAAAATGTTGACAGTTCTGTGTAGAACGTTTCAGTTTTCCATACTTTTCACGACTGATGTTAGATGTTTATAGGGAATCGGCAGGACACCCTTGACCCAGATTTCGTGGTTGTTAGCATTCACCAGCAAGGCGTATCTGAAACCTTGAAGGAAATGATGTCTCATGAAGGATTCGAACCCGAGTTGGCGTTTTGACTTTTTGCAACTATTCTAGGCCTTTTTTTTCAAAAATACTGGCATAACACTAAGTAACACAAGAATTATCGATAAATTGTCATGCTTAACACATATTCTAGCTATCTGAATCGATGTAGGTCCATGAATGAACCTGTTAGTTTGCATTTCTCATGGTGGAACTCGTTTGTTCCGAATGCTTTTAGCTCTCCCACCTTCTCACGGTCGTAGAATAACAAAAATAGCGTATCATACCCCAATATCCCTGTGTACCGAGAGATAGTCAGTTGTATCGCCAACACTACAAACAGCATGTGTAGTGATTTTTTCATATCCATGCTGTACGTCATGGATATCAGAGCACCAGCGTTTTGTTAATTCATTTTAAATGATCGTTTTTCGTTTACTTGTAGAATTTAGCAGCTTCAAGAACCTATCACAATTTGGATATCACTGTCTATGAAGCTTTGAATTATCGACGTGGTGTAAGTTAGTCTAAATTTGATCGTACTAAAAAAATTGAAATCGTATGAAAATTATTATACTACTTATAAGTAGACATTGTCATTTCTCATGAAATTCGTTCCTTACATTCCTTTACTGGCGGATATTTGCGTGTGGATAGCAATAATACTGCTGAAGAGTCCCATACCAGGACGGAGCAGGTGTTCAGTGCTCCCTGGTATTTAGTGGTTCTCGAAATGATGTCCGTGATGAATACTACCTCCAAATTAAGAATCCCCATTCATTTCAAAATACAATTTTCTTTCTCTATTGTTGTAATGACAGCTACTTATAAGGATACATATAAGTAATATGTACAGAAACGTTGAAAGTGACAATAATAGATTGGTGAGAAATTAGGGTAAAGGAACATTCATTAAAAAGCGAGTTTTTGATTTGAATGATCAGCTTTTATCACTATTTTCATCGAGTTAGAGTGTAGTGTCACAATTATACTGTGATGTCAGTGGTGTATCAGTATTTTGTGGTATACTCACTCACTCACGCACGCATACACACACATACATAATGGTCATTGGTTTAGGTAAATGACTTTTAACCAATTGGTCGTGGGTTGGGATACCAGTCTCCACCTACCGAAGTTTGGGCAACCAGTTAGGTGTAGTTGATAGCCTATTGCACTATTCATTTAACATAACTTTTTCCTGTGTACGAAAATCTGCAGTATATTTTTGTCAATAACGGATTAGTAAACTATATACTCTAGTCGTAGATTTCATACATATTTTTGTGAACTTTTGGCGTATGTACAACATAAAGTATGTCCAGTAACAAAGTGACTTCATTTGTTTGTGTTATGATATAACTTTTTTAGTGCCTATTAACAAATAAGGCAAAAATGAAACAAACTACACTCGACTTTGCTTACTAAAGGTTACATCAAAGGTGTATAAGAGATAATGATACTCTTCTGATAGACAGGTCGGATAAGTTTCCAACTTGTGATATGCCATTGAAAAGTAAAGTGTCTACACCTGTGAATCATGGGTACTAATCTCCTTGACTGTTGGCCTGAATCGTGTGGAGAGATGTAGACTGTCTGTGTAGAGGCCTCAAAACGATGAGAGGGAGGGGGTCATTCTCGGTGACACATGGTTGGAAATTGGTCACAATGCAACAGAGATGTATTCACTCCATAGCATCTCCTAAAGCTGAAATATTCACACTGCTTATTCTGTCACTTTGTCTACTTTGAAATCACTCTTTTCATATCAACTTGTTCTTTGTATACTACTGTGAAGTATGACAACTTGAAGTGATGTACCCGTGTGCGAGATATTACATTGGTGTTGTTCGTCTATTTGTCATTGAAGTGTTGTGGTGGGATTCAAACTGCTTTTTTATTAGACAAATATAATCCATGTAGTATTGGTAACCACATGCTCTACAAAAGAAATTTCAACCTGATTTTCTTGATGTCATAGCTTATAAGTTCTCGTAGTTAGTTGGACCGAACTGATCGACTGATGGGCCCCAGATAGGACAAGACGTGCGTTCTGAATTCCATCGCTAGGCACTATCAAGAGTTTGTACCGAACTTGAAACCTATTATATTTTTTGACCCAGGATGATTATTGAAGGTGAAACGAAAAGGTGGGTGGTGGCAGAATTCGAACTAGTGATCCGTGGATAAAACTTAGCCAATACTCTCATATAATCCCGTCAATACTGCATTTACTAAATCCATGTGGTTGTTCATTGTGATTATAAGTCTGAAAGCATATCGATAGTTGACACTTTTCAACTGCCCCTACACCTTAGAAGTTGTTTCTGCAGGATACCTGAAAGAGAAAAAGATTTGTGTGCCTGCAGAACTCATGTGACATCTACTTGAGGTCTATCACACACAGCCTGTTGTTTGAATGCCGGATAGTTATTAATGATATCATCATCATCATCATCATCATCATCATCATCATCATCATCATCATCATCATCATCATCATCATCATCATCATCATCATTATCAACATAGGACCAGGCATTACTGCGTAACGCTCCGAGTTGTCACATCTCACGTCAGTTCATCAAGTAGAAAGGTAGTGAAGTGAAGGATGAAGATAAATGAATGCAGTCAAAAGAAATATAAAGTATGAGAAGAAAGGAAAGAGGAGTGACAAAATAGCGAGATTCGGTATAGCGTTGTTAAGATGAGGATAATGTGTGTATACATCTGCGCCACTCATATCGGTTCTGAGCCATATCGCCTAGGGTCTCCAACTACTGGTTCCTCTTGTCCCGCGGACCCCAACCACCTAGTCTGCATCGTCCTACATGGCTTAAACCAACAGTCAGAGACTTCATACATTGGTGCCATGTTTTAGTCTGGCCACCTCGAGCCTTTTTCCAGCCTGGACCCACCTCAGCCAACATTGTGTGATGAGGCAATCGGTGACTAGGCATACGTAGTACGTTTCCCAACCATCTCAGTCGATGAAGGTTCACAACCTCGTCAACTGACTTACCTCTTCTCTGTAAAACTCTCTACCTAACTTCTGCATTACTCACGTGGTGACACCATGGAATACGGCCTATACTGTGAAGGCAATGGTGGTCAAACACCTGAAGCCTTTTTATATCTTCCACTTTCAATGGCCATGTTTCACAGCCATACAGTAGAACAGAGCGGACTGCTGTGCAGTACACGCGACCCTTAATAGACAAACGAATATCACGGCGGCACCATAGGTGGCTCAAATTGGCAAAAGCCAATCGAGCCTTTTGTATCCGTGCAGAAATCTCATCGGCAACTAACCCATCAGGGTTGATCCTACTTCCCAGGTAAGTGAAGTGGTCAACACACTCAACCACTACACTCTCTATTGTTAGCCGCGGTGGGGCACCGCCGAAGACCAGTCCTGGAGCAAAAATTTGCATTAGGGTGGTGAAAATCGCATCCCAAACATTCTCAAATTCCCACTGAAAGTGTTCAGAAGACTGTGCATCTTGTCAGCGTCTTCATCTAACAGGACTATGTCATCTGCATATTCTAGATCTAAAGAAAATTCACCTGTGATTGGGTCAACGTTTGTGTAATTAGGTGACGAGAGGGAAACCTTCATAAGAATATCTATGATAAAATTAAATAAGAATGGAGATAGTAGGCATCCTTGACGGACACCACTTGATGAGTATAGCTCCCTGGACAACTCACCATAGGCTCTAACATGCCCACAAGTGTTGGAGTAGAGAGCTTTCAATAAGGTGATGTACTTACTAGGCACGCCTTTCAGTGAGAGACATTGCCATAAGACTTCTCGATGATGATATCTGATGGCCTTCATTTAAATTATCTGAACCGTTCAACAGTAGTGTCTCTACATGAAATCAGTTCGAATCTATGAGGCACAAATATTGTCACTTCAAAACTTAAAAGTCATAAAAGTTATATGGATAAAAATAGATCAATCAAGAAGAATTGAGTGTTCACTTACTGTTAACTCTAGATGGAAATTCTACGCCTGTATCATTATTGAATACTGTAACAAAGAAAACCCCAAGATTAGAAGACATGTTTTCTTTTGAATAAAATATTTTAATACTAATTTATATCTAATTTATTTTATTTGATTGTTAGTACGTCAAACAGGAGATTTTAATCACTGTATCGATACATTACATCATATGTTCCATCGCTCGCTTGCCTTTTTTTAAAGGCATTTATGATAGCAGTCACATTGATGGCCACCCTAGTAACTCCTGAAATAACCAATCAGACTTCTCTACTTTATGAAAATCTTTCTTTTCCAACCGAAATGGAGAAATGTAATTGATTATTTCAATCGTTGCTAAAGTGGTTTTTAAAGTTTCCCAGATCGATCCACCATGATGACAATAACAGTATGACCAATAAAATTTGCAGATTATCAGGTTTTTGTTATATTAATGACACTGCTGGATATCGACACATTACGCTGGACAGCACTGGTTATACCGTGCGTTGAATGACTCCAATCACCTCTGTTATAAGTTGTTAAACGTTAAACAATGAAATCAGTTATTGCTTACTTCAGAGTTTTTATGCTTATTATAGCAGTCGATAAAGCACACTTAAACAATAGTATGTTTAGTGTTATTTCAATGTTAACAGCGAATAAATTTCACGCCTAGGACAGTTTAAGCTCAGGTGGATGGTCTTGGTTGTATTGTGTTCTCTGAGTTGGGTTGTTTAATCGTGAAGCTTTCATCGTCTTGATAGACGATATCATCAGTACTAACTTCAGGATGAAGTGAGCTGTCAATATCTCTTCATGAGTGATCCAGTAGCTTGCCCTGATGAACTGGTCTGTGATTGTTTGTTTCCTTTAATTGCTGTGTCATTGACTGACTGCATAGATTTTCCTGTTGGCGGTTCCCCCACTTCACCTCTGACCTTTCTATCGTTTATCATTTTGCTTATTGGTTGACAGATCGGGTCTATGTCTATACATCTATTGATTGCTGCTGACTGACTGACCTGAATGCCGAACTTCTTGGAATTCTCAACAATAATGTCAGTCAAGTAAGTCAGTGCTTCCATGTGATGGTTGAGAGACTTGACGGCGCGTTAAGAAAAGCATTTCCAACAAACTACACACATACATCATGAACGGCTGCCGCCTACCCTCGATACGGACACTGAAGATCAATCAGATGTCTAGAATAGTAAGAATAAGCAACTAGGAACTATGCTGTCAGCGAAGTAACGGAGAACCCATCGCCCAACAAACGCGCAGAAGAAAGTGGAGATGTATTGGATTGGACATGCATTGAGAAGACTGTTTGGGGATATCACGCGCCAGGTCAGCCCATGATGTCGATTAGTAGCTAAATGGGAAACGATGAGTTGGTCGTCTGAGCTGAGGGTCGCATGGAGGAGATGCTGTGAGGAATAAATGAAAGCTTGTAGTCGGTTGTGGAGCCAGGTTCAAAAGATTACAGAGAACAGAGTGCAATGGAGACGTGCTACTGAAGTGGTATG